AGGAGGACAAAGAATTAAAAAATATAGTGGAAGGATGCCACGACTTCCCGGAGAAAGGAAACGAAGAAGTGCTTGTGATTGTGAGTGAGCCAGATTCTATAAAGACGGGCGAAAGAAAAAGTTACGGTGAATGTAAGGAAGACGAAACTTGAAAAGACAATTGAGACGAAGGTTGATTTATCGGGTAAGAGATTGAAAAATTTCGTTCGGGCAGATGGACTCATGTTTGGAAAAGAGCTCGATTTTTCGTCATGTTTTTCGGATTCAATCGGAAAGCAATTCGATGGCGTCAAGCATAGGTGGAAACACAAAAAAGAGAGACGATTATTGGGCAGAACCTTGAGGACAAGGTTCATTTCAAGAGGGGTGGTTTGATACGATTTATTATTTAATTATTAGTTAGTTAGTATTTTTATTATTAATTAATTAGAATAAGTTGTTTAGGTTTATATTTTGCCGTGAGTACTTAGTTGTTAGGGAATTATTAAGTATTTTATTAGTATAGGTAATTATCTTTTCTAGTTAGATTAGGATTCTAGGGTTTTCATATCTTTAAATAGTCGTCTTATGCTAGGGTTTTATTATGAAAAGAGAAATAATAAAGAAGAGTTTTCTTACGTTTAGTAAAGAAATCTTATGATACTCAAGAGATCGTATCACATGGGACTTGGAAGAGAGCACCGTCAAGACACTCGTCGGCAGCCAATCAGGAAACGGGATTGTCAAGCTCGATTCCACCTTCAAGATGCCCGAGCCCAAAATCGAGCACTACAACGGAATGGCGTTGAACTGCGAGGAAGCTCCGTTGGATGTGGACATCAAGAATGGTGGCAAAGTTGTGGTTCTCAACACTAAGAATCTACCGTTGGTCGGTGAAGTTGGGCTCGGTGCAGATCTTGTTAGGTTAGACGGTAGTGCAATGTGCTCTCCAGGTTTCTCTTGTGACTCTGCTTTGCAGGTTACTTACATTGTAAGGGGAAGTGGCCGTGTCCAAGTTGTCGGTGTCGATGGGAAACGTGTGCTCGAGACGAGGCTTAAGGCTGGTGATCTATTCATTGTGCCTAGGTTCTTTGTTGTCTCCAAGATTGCTGATCCCGAGGGTATGGACTGGTTCTCCATCATCACTACTCCAAAGTAAGTTCTATTCAAATATTTTTGATTCTCTATCCTTATTTAATTTATACAAGGAGTTCCTTTTTTTTTTTTTCTTTTTTCTTTTTGCTAACTTCTTAAATGTGTGTTTTGTTGTGATATTTGCAGTCCTATTTTCACTCATTTGGCTGGACGGACTTCAGTTTGGAAGGCGCTTTCGCCCGAAGTTCTACAGGCGGCTTTTAATGTTCCGGCAGATGTCGAGGAGAAATTCACCTCAAAGAGGAAGGCTGAGGAGATCTTCTTTCCACCACCAAATTAATGCCACTAGCTTGGCTTTCGAGTTTACTTTTCGTTTTATTTTATTTTTAGGACAAATTAGAAGTACTATTAGGTTAGTTTCTTTTCAGTTGATTTTTGGAGTTTCCTTCGGTTTATTTTAGGTTAATTTCTTTTCACTTGCTACTGAGTTATGCAATAACTTTTATATGGAATACTACATATTTTATAATTTTTAGTAGGGGTGAAAGTTTGATGTTAGCTTTTTCAGAAAATTTCCATTTTTTTCGAAAGTACAAAATCAATTCCAATTCCAAAATTTGTGGAATCTAAAAATTAATTCCACCTTTTCTTCCATTTTATGTAGTGACAAAATTATCCCTAAATATATTTTAGAGTTTATAGAAATCAAAGGACAATAACGTAATTTAGTTAATATTTCATTCAAAGGTTAATTATACAAGTAACTTTTCATATTCATAGTGTTTTTTTAATAGTTTATTCCTGTTATAATTTCAAACATGCTTTGAAGTTTGAAAATAAATTTTATTCATATTAAAGTATATTTAGAGAGTTCTCTAATAAGATATTAGTTGACTATATTTAAGTCATCATTTAGCTGAAATAATTTATTTATGATATGGTTTAATTTGTCGATATTCAATCAAAGAGTTCTCTAATAAGACAGTATTTTACTATATTTAAGTCATCATTTAGCTGAAATATATAGTTTAATTTGTCAATATTCAATCATTTATAATAATTTGAAGAGAATAAGGGAAAAAAGAATTCACATAAAAATAAATAGATAAAATTGAAAAAACTAATTCCACAACTTATTATATTAGATGAAATAAATAGTCCAAAAATTTGAGGTACTAAATAAAGTACAGACAATCATATAAGGTTAAGTTAAATGGTATGCAATCTTTGATATTACAAATTACTTTTGATATTTTTTGTAGTATCTCTAGGGGTGTGAATGAGCCGAGATCGAGCAGAGCTCGCCTCTTTTGGCTTTTGTCGAGCTCGAGCTCGTCGAGTTCCTCTTTTTTTGGCTCGAGCTCGAGCCCAAGCTCTTTTTGTTTTAAATATTTTTTATTTATTATTTTATTATAAAAAATTATTTAAAAAAAATACAAAATAAAAAGTAAATTGTAATTATATATATTTTTAATATTTGTATTTATTTCTATAATATTTTATACTATTATACATTATTTAAATAAAAATAACATATAAAAAATAATAAATAATAAATAAGGCTCGCGAGCTCATGAACAACTAAAAACCGGCTCGAGCTCGAGCTCGAAAACCTCGAGTTCGAGTTCGAGCTTTTTACGAGTCGGCTCGGCTCAATTATCACCCCTAAGTATCTCACATCATAATTTTTTTTAAACTAGATAGGTGCACTTGCGTTGCACGTGTTGTATTAATTGAATCTAATTCGGTAATTTTTTATATATACTTATTCATTACAAGAAAACATACCTTTTGCGAGGATAAAATTCATCATGAAATCGTTTTGTAACGAACGGGACTTGATAAATGCTGTACAATTTTTATGAATACAGTAATTATTTTCAAAAACTTTCGCTCTCTAAGGTTTGAAAAATCCTTACACACCTAGAACGGGTGCGAAATAGCATATTTCACGTCCAAAATAGGAGCGACGAAATAGCATATTTCACGTCCAAAATAGGAGCGGAAAAATATTATCCACGCCCCTACTGGGCGTGAGAGCCACTGCTTCACGCCCAAATTGGGAGTGGAACAATAGTTCCCACGCCCAACATGGGTGTGGATGCTTGTCTTCCCATTTTTTTTCTTTTTTTCTTCGTTTCCTTTTCTCTCTTTTTTTTGCTTTTTCCTTTTGTTTTAGTTAGTTAGTGATTAATTAATTATTAATGAATGATTAACAAATAATATTAATTTTTTTAATTCGTTAATAATTAACCAATAGATAAATATTTACTCATTAACGAAAGAAATTAATTATAATTGACATATAAGTGATTTAGAGCAGAAATTGCCTTCAAATTTGGTGAGATTTTTGGATCGGAGAGGATTATTGAGAATTCTTGAGAGTTTTGGAGGTTTTTTTGGGAGGTTTGGGTGGGTTAGAGAGAGAAAGAAAAGCATATTGTGGACGATATTCGTAATTTTAGTACTGCGAAAATTATTTTAGGTAACGATATTGTTTCGTTACCTTATGTTTCTTCTAAAGCCCGGCGCTGGAAGTTTTAGTAACAAATATTACGAATTCAGTACGAATACTGGTGAAAAAAAAACTCTTCGTTACAATAGGTCCAATACAAGTAACGAAGTTATCCTTACTAAACATTTTTTTATTGTTACAAAAGACTCATTCGTCACCAATACTTATTTTTAATATTCATTTAATTTATTTACATGGTAAACACTATTTGTCATAAAAAATATTTATGAACACTGTCATCTCCATTAATATTAAAATTCTATTTATATGACAAATATAATTGTCATAAAATATGACATTTGTGTATTATATGAGTGTTGCACTTTTGCTAATAGCTTGTGAACCTAAAGAAAATAGTGAATGAGAATTACGATATACATGAATACTAACCTAGAATAAATATGCAAAAAGTAAAAAGATGTTTAAATAAAAAAAAAATTAAATAACCGCAAGAGAATACTTCAAGAACAAAAACTCTATGACTATTGTAATAACTAATAACGCAATTATTTGTCACTAAGATTATTTGATTGTTGGTGACAACAGTATACCATTTGTACTGTAACACTTTTCTTTGTCACTAATAAAAGTTTTCGTGCCAATTGCTCACCTTTTATAACTATTCTATGCTGTCGTCTAAAAAAATTAATTTTTTGGTAACGGAAAAGTATCTTCTGTAATCATAGTTATCTACTATTACCAAAAAGTCAGGTTTTTGTGACAATATTACTTATTCGTTACAGGAATATATTAAGTTTTTATAAGAAACTGTGCCCTGTTATCAATTATTTTAGTTATTTGAAGATATTTTTCTAGTGTTACTTAAGGGTGAAAAACATATGAAACGGATCCGAACTGACTTTTCTATTTATATTCTTATATATTTTTGGAAGTTAAAAATTGATTCTGAATTTTGTTCCAAAAAAAATGGAAATCCTCATAAACGGCATAAATTTGAAAATTTCCGAAATTGCTTTAGTTTGTAATTTTTTGTTCAAATTTAGAAATGATCGAATTTATAAGAAACTATGCCTTGTTACCAATTATTTTAGTTATTTGAACATATTTTTCTAGTGTTAGTTAAGGGTGAAAAACAGATGAAACGGATCCGAACTTACTTTTCTATTTTTATTTTTTTGGAAGTTAAAAATTAATTCTGAATTTTGTTCCAAAAAAATCGGAAATCCTCATAAACGGCGGAAATTTTAAAATTTCGGAAATTGCTTTAGTTATTTTTTTGTTCAAATTTAGAAATGATCGATTTTTTTTGGAAAAAAATTTGGTATTTTCGGAATTTAACCAAAATGGTCTTTTTTTTTTTTTCCTTATTCCCTGAAGCTGTGAAGCAACAATTTAAAGTGAGAAAAACTTGCAGTTAAATGGTAATTATTATGACAAAAGATGGTTTAGTGAAGAAAAATAAAAAAAAATATAAAAATAGTCCTAACCCTAAAAATTATGAAATTTTCGGTTTCAAATCCCAAAATCCAAAGTTTAATCATGTTTCCCCAAACATCAAGTTTTTAGTAATGTAAAACAGGATTAGAACATCAAAATGAAACCTGAATTTCTTGGGATTCTCCTGGGATTCCCCAATTTCTGAATTTCGTCCCAAACACAGTCCTAGGCAATCCTAACAAAGAACAAAGCCTAAAAAACAAAACAAACTCCTCACTCTCACAATTGAAGACTCCTTGTCACGAATCAACAACATTTTCATTATGGCAATTGTTAACCATTTTACAAGATGTAAATTACTATGAACTAAATCGTATATAAACAAACACTGAATAACAATTCAAAAGAGACAAACAAGCACGATTACACAAAAAACCCACCTATACAATGGGGTCTGCTTTGTCGGAACTTAAAATTGCTTCCCTTTTGTGTGTAATTATTGAACGTACCACGCCAATACACATGTGAGCATCATCCACGCAAGTTTTATTCATCGATTTTAACATTTACCTGGATCGCCGAGTTTTTGTGGAAGGGGCCGTGTAAGAATTGCACTACATTGCTCCGTGAGTTCGATCATCTCGTTCCCTTGCAATTTCTTCCCCTTCGTCCCGAGGTCCTTGAGAAATTTCACCCACTTTGGCATCTTCTGAATCGCTTCGATGAATGGAATATTTATGCGAATTTCCTTCAACTTGTCCAAAAAGCCTTGGTATTCGGCATCGAGCTTCTTCTTTAGAAACTTTTGAGGATATGGAATTGGAAGGTCTCGTGAAAGCACTATTGATGGTGGCTCTTCATGAGTTGATTCTTTTTCCTCAATCACTTTCGGCTTCTCGATTACCGTATTTCTCTTCTCTTTTCGTGGGGCTTCCTCCAATTACTTACTGTTCTTCAAGGTGACTGCTTGACAAATCTCGACCTCGATCTTTTCTTTTGCAATCCATGGGGATATGGGATCGGTTCCACCCATTCGGCTACAGTGACTTACGGCTTAATTTGAATTTCTTTTTTTTCCTCGATCTTGAAATCGATAGCTTGGCCAGTCTCGAACTTTTGCTTTCGAGGGTCTTCCGCATTCGATGGCAATGCTCCTGCCGGACGGTTCTCTTGATTC